ATCTGTATTTCTAAGAAAAGCAACAACTACATTTTTCAACTGATGTACTTTCGACTTCGCTGCCACAAACCTTATTTTGGAAGCTGGCTTTCCCATCAAACCCCAAACATTGTTACAAGAAACTGACGGCAAAATAAAGCTGTAAGACGGCGAGCTAATGCAAGATGTTTTTTAAATATCACCAGATTCTTATAACTGAGCATTATATAGCACTTTGAAGGCAAGGTTCTAGAAGATTACGTGAAATTTCTGAAGAACCCAAAAGGGATGCACATAGCAAAAGCAAAATCCCAAAGTCTTCTTGATAAAGCTTATGGAAACCTTCAATTTTGCAATGCTCATTTCTTTTGGAAATCATATCTGGCATATAACTCCGTCAAAACTTTTGCACTCTAGCAGTAATATTACCTCTGATTGTAAGTCTTCATTGATGGGGTCGTTATTTCCACACTCGTCATCTCGAGGGGATTTTGTATACGATTCACTGGATTTTCTAGACACATCGTAACTCTACAAATGTAACTAGAACTTGGACAAGAAAGAGTAGATCTATGCAGAATGAACCTTTTCCGATCCAACACCGGAATCCTTTCTTTGTTCATTCGAAGCGATATCTGCAAACAAAATCACTCGCAAATGACCATAGATAACCTGCTGGCCATACTCACTGGAAAACTCCTTAATGCATGTTTGCTGAAGTTTCACTGACGCATTGGATCGCTGCAAAATGTGATAGGAGACAATGTGGACTTGAAAAATAAAGGCACACCTCCGAAGAAATTTGCTTATTGCTGTTACTCGGCACCGCATCAAACACCTTTGTAACTTTCCATCTAGGAAACTCATTAGGCTCATAATGCCTAATGCATTTAACTTTGTAAATGCCATAATCTAAAAAATGTCATCAAACTCAGCCTATGGTATCCCAAGTACGACCCACCGCAATTCTTGAAAAGATCAAACGGATCCTTCATGAATTCCCATTTATCACTCCATACAATTCTAACCCCGTGCTCGTCTGTGCAGCCTAGGTGCTCCACCTTCAATGTCAGCTGAAATCATCCAAATTGAAAAAAAATACTGAACCTGCATCCTGCATCACATATACTCAGATAATCGCCGGGGCAAGCGGTCTGCAAATTCGCGCTTTTCTGCAAGCGGTCAGCAA